TTTGTTGTGTATCATTTCTTTTTTGGCCAGAGGTGCAGTGGGTGAAAGTCTTCACCAGAGACAGAGTAGGGAGCAGAACAGGTGGATTTACTGAAATACACTGCTGTGGGGAGCAGCAGATGGGCGAGACTGGAGAGGTCTGCTGTGCCATGTGGGTCAGCTCCCTGACCAAGGATTGAACTCAGGTCCGTAGCAGTGATGGCACTGAGATTTAACCCTAAGCCACCGGGGAGGTCCTGTTGTGTATCATTTCCCTTAAGGCCAGAGTTTCTAAGAACCTATTGACAAGGTTAAGCGAGCACTTAATGTACCTGCAGATCTCGAGAAGAGTGTAGGTTCTGTTTATCACTGTATCCCTAGTTCCTATAATTTTGTCTAACAAATAGTAATAACTTAAATATTGACTCTTCACCTCCACTTCCATCACTCAAGCTCACCCCTCTTAATCACTATTATCATTAGACTAGTTTGAATGCCAATTCCATGAAATCTTCCCTGTTCCACATAAGAGAGGTAACTCCATCCTCCCAACTTTTGTAACATAAAGAGCCATGACTTCCCTTGATTCATGTATTCAATACAAATCATTCAGGGCCTCCCCGGTGGTGCAGTGGGTTGAGCACAGAGCTGTGAGGCTGTTCGCAGCCTCTGCAGCGCAGGTTCAATTCCCAGCCAGCCAGGGAGATACCCACATGGTGCGACAGACCTCTCCTGTTGCGCCTGCTGCTCCCCTCAGCAGTGTCTTTCGTCAGTCTGCCTGTTCTGTTCCCCTGTCTGTCTCTGGTGAATCCTCTCACCCTCCCACGCCTCTGGCCTGTGCCCCAGCTCTTGTATAAAAATAAATAAATCTTTAAAAAAATAAACAAATTATTTAACACACTTCATGTACCAGGCACTGTGTGAAATGATAGTAAGACACCATTCCTGCTCTCAAGGAGAGCCTTGTAAATAAGCTGTTACAATTTAAAGTATTAAGTGAACCTTGTGCAGGGTAGGTAAAGCTCTGATCTGACTTGATTTTGAATCCTGCTTTTGAACATCTGCCATGTGATGAAAAATTAGTCTTTCCAAACCTTGGTTGCCCTGTCTTTTTTTTTTTATTGTTGAGGTAATATCAACATTATGTTAGTTTCAATTGTACAATAGTCATATATTAAATGGAAAAAATAATGCCTTGTTATGAGAATTAAATAACACATATTACTTAGCAGATATCTAGCATTTACTAATAATGTTACTGAGTATGTCTAATTCAACTTTGAACGATCTTGAAAGGCTTCCCAGAAGAAGGGACTTTGAAACCTGGAGGATGAGAAGTTAAGTGATGGGAGGGAGGGACACAGGGCGGGGAAGAAAGGTCCCAAATAGAAAGGTCAGGTGCAAAGTGCTTGAGACTTGTTTTCAGTTTGGAACCTGAGCAAAAGACAGAGTGTGCTGGTGTTCTTTGCTGTCTCAGCCTCCACTGGCTCTAAAACAGATTCACACCTAAGTTTCACTTGGACCTTGAAGGCAGCCATCAGTTCACTTCCCCATCCCTATTGCTGATCAAGCATAGCAAATGCCCCCTGAGGTGGGAGAGGGGTTGGTGAGTGTGTGAGAGACTCACAAAACTGCCTTTACCAGGCTGCTAGTTGGGCAGGCAAGGAAACTATCATTTATTCTTTGCCCCCCCAGTCCCCTCCCCCTGCTTTATATCCCTTCCTCTAGCCTTCCTGCTGCCTGGAGTGCTCCATTTCAGGTGAGCAGACTCTATGCAATACTTTATAGGCCTCTTCAGCTTCCTGACCTTAACTATAGCTGGGGTTATTTATTTTTTTTTTAAGATTTATTTATTTATACAAGAACCGGGGTACAGGCCAGATGCGCAGGAGGGTGAGAGGATTCACCAGAGACAGAGTGGGGAACAGAACAGGCAGACTAATGGAAATACACTGCTGAGGGGAGCAGCGGGCGAGACAGGAGAGGTCTGCTGCACCATATGGGATTCTCGCCTGCCAGCCAGGATCGAACCCATGCTGCAGAGGCTGCAGACAGCTTCACAGTGCAGCACTCAACTGCCTTTCCTATCTCTCCCACTGCTCCCCTTAGCAGTGTATTTCAGTAGATCCACCTGTTTTAAAGATTTATTTGCACTGGGTAAGAGGAGGGCGAGAGAATTCACCAGAGCCAGAGTGGAGTTACACTGCTGGGGGAGCATCTGCGCGCCATCTTCTCAGGTGGCCCAGCCGGATCGCTGGCGCTCTGCGGGCAGCTTCGCAACCAGCTCTCATGCGCCACAGGAGAGGCCCAGATCCACCTGTTTTACTACTTTATGGTGAATCCTCTCACCCCCAGTGCCTCTAGCCTACACCCCAGTTCTTATACACAAAAATAAATTTAAAATATTTTAATAACTTACTTGGAAAATAAAAGCAGACCAGTTATTTGAACTTTGGGATTTAAAAAAGTATAAAATGTTTCAGACATTTAGAAGTAATAATTTGAATTTGAAAGGATAATAGAAATCAAATTTAGTCTACTGTTCACTCACAGGTACATATAATGTGGGTCTAGTTTCACCCTGACTAAACTATAGGTAGTGGAAATCCACGGAAAGTCACACAGGATTATGTAGTACTATATCACATTGATGTAGGGTAAGGTAAAAGTATCAGGCTTTTCTGCCCTCCCGCCATTAGGATAGATGACAGAACCCTGTGGTCCTGAATGCATGCCTGATGGCAGGCACCTGGAGTAGGGTGTGGGCATTTGTAGATGGGATTCACCTGGGCTAAGACTGGGCTTATAAGGGGGACGTCACCGGGATGCGAGCAGATGCAGAGAAGCAGAAGCAAAACTACGAGAGAAGCAAAGAGAACGTCAGAGAAGGCCGGTGAGCCCAGAAAGAGTAAAGACTTGCTGGGGGTTGGGAGGCCTGCCAGCCTCCCTGCCCCCCAGCACCTCTGCCTGCCGTCCGTGTACCTGGTAAATCCCTATAAAAGCCTGCAAAAGCCACCGAGGTCTCCAGGACTCTCTCCTCCTTTACCCAGTCTGCTGGATTAGAAAACCTGCACTGTGTCATCCTGCCCATTACAGTTGGAAAGCAATGTGGAAGTGGCATCAGCTGAAATGATTTTCCAATACAAAAGTTCATTTTGGTAACAATGTCCAGATTTCTGCATGTCACAGTGTCATCTGGAGTCACACAGCTCTGGCACTTACAAGCTATGTGACTTTGGGAAAGTTATTCTCTGATTCCTACTTTTTAGGTTCTAGAAGGCTAAAATTCTTAGACCTTTAGCCGGTTATTAATAATTACTACTCTTAAAACTCCTAGTTGCTTTAAACTCATTAGCCTCCCTAAAATCTAGAAATAGTAGAGATGTGTTATTATGTTTGTTTAATAATCAATGCTTCCAGTGTTCAGGTAAAAACTGCAAACATCTAGAAGGTAAATTGCTTTGTAAACCCTAACCTCATCCAAAATACCTATGGTAGTTTTTTTATAGCTATGCCGGGTCCAGAGAGCTCTAATCTGTATTTGATCTCCTAGCTTTGGAAGCCCAAAGGTGGAGTAAGCATGTTTCCTGCACCTTGAGCTCAGAGGTGGGACGGAGCAGAGGGATGCGGGGTTGGCCTTGGCAGGGTACCCAGGTGCGGAGGGGTCAGACCCGGCCCAGCCTAGCCGGCCCTTCCGCAGACCTGGCGTCCGCGGGGTGTGTATTCCTGTGAGTGGAGTCGCAATCACCGAGCGTTGTGTCGCTTCGGGTGTTCCGCCGAGTTCGCGAACTTTGCGGGTGCCGGCAGCGCCCCGCGAAGGGGAACACCTGTCCTTCGGCGGCTTCCTAAGGGCCAGACCCGGGTGGTGGCCTCACGGCGTCAGGAGACCCCGGCCTGGAGACGGGTGCGCCTTGGGGCGGGCGCGGGCGGCCGGGGAGCAGCGGGCGGGCCCGCAGGAAGGTGTGCGGGAGGCCGGCGGGGGCTCGGGGGCGGGGCGATGACGTCAGGGGGCGGGGCCCGCGGGTAGGTGAGCCGGCGGCCGGCGGCGGCGCTCATTGAGGGCGGCCAGCCGCGCGGAGCCGTCGTGCCTGGTCTGCGCCCCGCGCCGCCCGTCATGTCCCTGAGAAGCAGCCTTTCCCGGCTGCTCCGGGCGCGCGCGCGTTCCGCCCCGAGGAGGGCCAGCCACTCCGTCGCCGTGATCGGAGCCCCGTTCTCGCAGGGGCAGGTGAGAGCCGAGACCCCGCGTTGCGGGGCAGGCAGCACCCCGGAGAGAGCGGGGACAGGGTGGAAGGGTCGAGGAGGCGAGGAGAGGATGGCGAAGCGAAGAGGGGACACGCGGGGGGTGCCTGCGATTGGCCGCCGGGAGAGCACGTGGATCGACCCCGCTAGAAGATGGGGACAGAGGCAGGAGGTGGACTCTGGGCGGCGGGCAGCGAGCTGGGGGGTTCTGCAGTCTTCCCGGGAGGAACGAGAAAGTGATGAGTCCAGCGTGGGTGATGGAGAAGAACCGGACCAGCATCACCGAGGGAAAATTGAGCAGAGGTTAAAGAGATCGACTGAGGATTTAAAGCTCCTGGGTCCATTCTCAGCACATTCACTGGAAAGGAAACTGGAGCTGGCTGCTCTGGCGAACGGGAGGGGCTGTTTTGTTCTTGGATGAAAGAAACCTGCAGAGAGCTTACTAGTGGAGAAGTCCCACCCCAGCCCCGGCCAGTTACTCCCACACCCAGCCATCAGATCCCGATCTGGCTAGCCCAACCCCTTTTCATCCCGGGGCGTGGAAGATTGATTTGGTTCCAGTGATTTTTCCCGCCCCCCCCCCCCCCCGCCTTCCCTGCAAGTGTTTGAAAATGATCAGACCTCAGGTGAAAAACAACAAAAGGTGATGGCCGTCACAGGTTTTCAGAGAGCTCTATTGGTAACTGAGTGAGTGTAGTATAGCAGATTTCTGTATTTTTGTGAACTCAAGTGACCTTTTCTAAACATCCTTCCATCTAACTATGTAATTTATTGTGTGACAGAAAAGAAAAGGAGTTGAATATGGTCCAGCCGCCGTAAGAGAAGCTGGTTTGATGAAAAGGCTCTCCAATTTAGGTAAGTGGCTGTATTTTAAATGCCTGAGAGGGCTGGTAAGAGACCAATTAAGAGTCTTATCTCTGATCTCCCGGGACTGCACGCTGCCAGCTGTGGTCCCTCCTTTGGATTTCACCCACCAGCTTAAAACTTATAGAAGAGTTTTCAAGCAAGGTCTTGTTGCAATAGTGTGTGCAAGGCAAGAAGGTGGACTGAGATGGGGCCCAAAACGAGCTGTTTTGTTAGTGGCTGCAAAGTGGTGCAGAGAATGCTAGCTCCAGCTCTAACTGCCCAAACTTTCCTCTGAATTCTCTCTTAACTCAGTCATGAGGTACTTGTGACTCATGGATCTAGTCAATTTCCTCTCCATCATTTTACTTCCTCCTTAGGGTTAATAGTTTTATATAGTAAGTGGCTTAAATCAGTGTCTTTCCAACTTCTGTTTATGAAAATAACTTGGGTTACTTGTAAAAATATAAAATAAGGATGCATAGGCACCTCCATGGAAGAGTCTGGTTTGTTGACTCAGGAGTGGAACCCAGAAAAGTTTTCACAAACATCCCTGGTAGTCATAAGTGAACTTGCAGTGTTGTAATTAGGACAGTGCTGAAAACTTACAGAACCAGAAATAAATCTGACCCAAGATACATGCTATTTACTTAGTAATGGAAAACCCCACTTTTCGTAATAAGGCACCAAATTTCAATACTTTTTTGATAGAAGGTTCTTCCTTACACCTAACTCAAATGTTTCTAGCTGCAGTTTAAGGCCATTTCCACCACTCCTATTAGGAACATCCTCACATCTTTTCTGGAGCTGTAAAGTGCAAAAGGTGTGGCAGCAAGGAGTTGGAAATACTGATTAAGAATCTAGGTGAAGTACAGATCATTTCCCCCTCTTTGTTTGAAACTCCCTCTGCTGGCGAGGGAGTCCATTCCAGAGTCATCTCCCTAAAAAACACAGAGGAATAATTAAGTTGTCAAAATCCCCTTGAGTTGAGCTGTCGTTCTTTGCCTCTAGTCCCATTTGGATAGAGTGTCTTGGCTTGAATACTCAAAACTCTTCATGTTAATAATTGCAGTATTTCCTTTTTAGTCATTTTTAACAACTCTCCATGTTTGCCATAAAAGATAAATTGCTGAAGATTTGGTCTTCGTGTGTCCAAGTTACCTCTGGGAAGAGGGTTTTGTTCCTGCTTATCTGTGAGGAGACTGTCCCCTTAACCAGCTGTGCACATTTAGCCCTTTTAAAGGGCCATTTTTACAGTGACGGCAACAGTCTCTGGTAATCACTGGCTTTTTTGTTTTTTGTTTTAATATTGGATAAACCTTTTCATCTCTCTGATGAGCTAGACCAGGCATTGCTCAAATTGCCTGCTGATTGCTAGATTCTGCAGAAAGAGACTCTGACAAGATCAGCTTCAGCCTTTTGCACTGGAGACAGTGATACTCAGTTGTGGCAGCTGAGTGAGGGGGAGGGGCAAATTTGCAGCCGCCTCTTTTCTCTCACTACTCTCCTTTTTTCTCTCACTACTCTCTCGTAGACTTCCTTTCCTGTCACAGCTTACGGTATTTTTCCACTCCAACAGGGAAGCCTTTCTCCCTTAAATGCTATCCTAATGCGTCCTCTGTCGACTCAACCTAAAGTGACCGTGAAGCCTTAGTTTATTTGGTCGTCTGTTTTAGATATTTTTAGTTTTATAATTATTTCTTTATCCTGTAGTTGATTGGTAGCCCGGTATCACCAGCAGTTTGAAATACAATCTCATCGCATATTACAAAGACTGGCGCTCAGCATATTTCCAGCATGTGGTTTGGGCGCCTCTCCAGCAGTGTGTTGGAGAAAAGTACCAAGAGAAGGTTTCCATTGCTGTGTTCCCAAATAGCACCAAAATAACTTCAGTCCTTTGAACACTTTCATACACTTTCCTCGTCAAATTTTTAGGGGGAGAAGACACAAGGAAAGGTAACTTTCACAAATCCCTTTGTTCTTGCTTCCTGCGCTGATGTCACAGGCAGCTGACGTTGCCATGGCATCAGCTAAACTTCCCTTTCTCTTGAGTGAATGTATTTGATTTAGCGGCGGGGCTTGTTTTCCTTTCCTTGGGCTCAGTAATGACACTCAATGGTTCTCTCTCAGGTAACCACTTATTTTTATATATAAAGCGAGCCTAAGAGAAATGGAGAGGCAATTACTCTGGCCAAGCACAGATGCAGCGCCTGCATTCCTGATCCTGGTTAGCTTTCTGGTAGCCACGGTAATTTGTCCTTTTTTTCTTCAAATGAGTCCGCTATGGGTGAAGATAGTTTAAACTAAGATTAACAATTGGAGTTCTCTCTCATTCAAATTATGGTAATTTGACCCAGCTGTGGTGCTGAAGAGGCCGATAATAGAACTAGACCTAGAACAAGGCACTGTGATCAGACCAAGGTCCAGGAGTTCAGGAAGCCTTTTGGAGCTATCCTGGTTCCCCCCAACTGGCTTTGAACAGTCTTTCTGTTCCATTTGGTGCCCCATTGGATGGCACAAAAGGTGATATTTTAGATTGAGACTCAAGAAAATCTGTCTCCTTCAGCTGGAACTTCTGAGGGCTGAGGTAGTTATTTAAACTTGAGAATCTGAGCCTCCCTGGTGGCGCAGGGGGTTAAGTCTCAGCACTATGAAGTTATCGACAGCCACTGCAGCACAAGTTCGATCCCTCTAGTGTATTTCACTCAGTCTGCCTGCCTGTTCTGCTCCCCACTCTGTCTCTGGTGAATCCTCTCATCACCACCACCACTACACCCTCTCCCGCTCTTGCACCTCTGGCCTACACCCCTAGCTCTTGCGTGCATAAATAAATAAAATAAGTCTTTAAAAAAATAAACCTGAGAATCTGAAGTATGAGAACTGTTCATTTGGAGCAAATTGATATGTGAGTGCAGGGGTCTGTATTTGGTAGAAAATGTTAGCAGTCATGAGCTGTATGGTAGTGATGCTTTAGATTGCATCTTCTCATCCTATCATTCCACTGAAACTACATTGTCAAGCTCACTGATTTGTCAGCCATCACTGGACCTTTCGATGCACAACTGACCATTTTATTCCTGAAATATCCTCAGGTAGCCACTGTCCTGGGTCTCCTCTATTCATTGGCTTGTCCTTCCTGGACTGCGCTTTATGGGATCCTCTTCCTACCAACTCACAAATGCTGGTGTCCCCAGTCCTTTCTCACTGCCTCAAGTGACCAATCCCATCCACTTCCACCTCCCTCTTAACTGCCCTACCTGTGACCTTCCTCTAGCATACTGTGCCTGTTCCTCCAACTTTGTTCTAAGTAGCCTCATCTCACAGAGGCTTCCAATTCAATGTTCAAAACAATTCATTATCTTCTCCCTCAAATCTGCTTATCCTGCCTATAGTCTTCCCATTATCTAGTTATCACACTATCTCTTATTATCTAGTTATTCAAGTCAGATTCCAAGACCAACATAATTCTTTTTCCCTTACATCTATTGATTAGAGTCTTGTTGATTTTTCTCTCCTAAATCCTTTCCATCATGGTACTGCTCTAATTCTGTCCTTATCTCAGATGCCAGTGGTATCTCTTGTCCTACTTTGCTTTCCTCCTGCCCCTTCTTCATTGCTACCAAAGAGATCTAAGATGGTATTTCTCTTTCCATGACATTGCTTTTAAATACACCCATGTTTCTCAATCTCTGGTTATTCATAACCATCTTTGCTAATTTGCCATAATATTTATTTTGGTGTCTTTTTTTTTTTTTAAAAGATTTATTTATTTGGGCCTCCCTGGTGGCACAAGGGGTTAAGCACTATGAAGCAACCCACAGCCTCTGCAGCATGAGATCGATCCCTGGCCAGCCAGGGAGCAACCCACATGGCAAGGCAGACCTCTCCTGTCTTGCCTGCTGCTCCCCTCAGCAATGTATTTCTGTCAGTCTGCCTGTTCTGTGCCCTACTCTGTCTCTGGTGGATCCTCTCACCCCTGCATCTCTGGCCTGTACCCCAGCTCTTGTATGCATGAATAAATAAATATTTACTTGTGGGGCCTCCCCGGTGGTGCAGCGGTTGAGCGCTGGGTTGCGAAGCTGCCCGCAGCCTCTGCGGCGCCGGTTCGGTTCGATCCCTGGCTGCTCCCCAGCCACCGGAGAGGGTCCCACATGGCGCACAGACCTCTCCTGCCGCCCGCTGCTCCCTTCAGCAGTGTACTTCGGTCCTTCTGCCTGCTCTGCTCCCCGCTCTGGCTCTGGTGAATTCTCTCACCCTCCCGCGCTTCTGACTGTACCCAGTGCATGTATAAACCAACCAAACAAACAAACAAACAAATAAATTAAAAAAAAACAAAAACAAACAAACAAAAAAAAACATGCCTCTAAAGATTTACCTGTGCATGCATACAAGAGCTGGTGTGGGGATGAGAAGATTCACCAGAGACGGTGGGGAACAGAACAGGCAGACTGACTGAAGTACACTGCTAAGGGGAGCAGCGGGTGAGTCAGGAGAGGTCTGCTGCACCATGTGGGTTGCTCCCTGGCCAGGCATTGAACTCATGCTGCAGAGGCTGCGGAAAACTTCATAGTTTGGGTCTTAACCCCGTGCGCCACCAGGGAGGACCTGGTGTCTGTCTTTAAATTGGAGTTAAAGCTTCATACTTTTGAAGTATAACCTGCCCCTACAATAAGCAGTGAAATCTCAGGCTTGTGCCAGGTACATCTTTCTAATACTTTTTATTTTAATGGCGTTACATTTTTTTAAATATTTTATTATGCATACAAGAGCTGGGGTGTAGGCCAGAGGTGCAGGTGGGAGTGGGGTGTGGCGAGGGTAAGAGAATTTCCAGAGACAGAGTGGGGAGCAGAACAGGTGGATTGTTAATGATGTTACATTTTTATGTTGTCTTTCAACCACTAGTGGTTTCTGTTCTATACTTAACAGCCAACAGGATAAGTCCTCCCTTCCACCTTTTTATCTCCATGCACACTCCACCTCATTTTTGTTGCAGTTGTGAGCTCATGACCCAT